AGCTCACTATATTAAATTGTCGCTATCTAGTAGGCAGTTATTTCTTGTATAGACAAGTATGTGGGCAGCCTTTTAAGCCTGATACTCCATCGACTTTTTTTCGTCGTTAAATGCCCATAAGATATAAAAAATAGTCACCACGGTAGAAACGTAACAAAGGGCGTAACGAATCAGCTCCATTTTGAATTCATTACGTTGAGACGTGGATTTGTATCCTGGTCTACTAATACAATCTCTAAATCATTACATAAGGCTTACACATGTTTCTCTGAAACACTCATTACGCGCTATTACTTAATATGTATCTAATTTGTCTACAACATATATTTGGGCTTCATTAGATACATGTTGAAAGAAACAAATCCACACAGATTGCAAAAAACCTAAAGTTATTATTATATATTATTAACTTCTATTTAGAATGTTTTTCAGAATTTTAATTCAAAAAGTAATAAATTAAGTATATAAATAAATAATAATTTTTACTTATTTAAATATGGGTGTGGTAAAATTTATCTGACGCTTGGGACTTATGGATTACAGCTTTTCCGTGGTACATGGTGGAATATAATTTAAAAGTAGCGATTATCTTAAGTCTATTTAAACAAAAAATCGTAAGCCGTTGATTATGAGTGAGTGTGTGAATGTGTGTATTATACGTGAGTGTGGCTGAGAGATGTTATAAGCGAGCGTGCGCTGTCTGTGTTAGGTTCTGCAAAATGCACTTCTGTTACACTATTAAGATCTAATATTTCTATATATTTATTTCTAAGTTTGGACTTCCAATTACCTTAGCCCAAACAAAGATGTATGTTTTCGGTGAAAAAGGACATCATTACAATAACTTATTATCTGACACCTAAGTCCGATTTGTAATACTTATGAGTGTTATAAGGAGTTAAGAATGAACGTTATTACGAGGATATTTTTATGACGTTATTTTCACTCCATTTAATTTAATATATGAAGTCAATCTAGTCTAAGTGAAGCAAAGCACTCAAATACGTACGCGAGATAGCATCATCATGTTATCATTTTCCGTACAAAACTCTGTAATTCTTTATAGCTGTAATTCGGTCCATTATCGGAGTAGGCATTCAAGAGAGGCTGGCAGAAATCTTTTTACACGTCTCGTTATTGCGCTCCCGAGATTCTCGAGTACTGTTATGGAGTCTCAAATAGTGTGAAACTTATGAGTTTGAATGTTAGTTGCTAGTAATGATGAGATGAACGAAATCTATGAACTGACCACGGAAGAAATCGATCCAAGGAATCAATGAAGTAAATTTAAAAAAAAACCTTTAGATTAAAATAGTAATATTTTTTTCAAGGACCTCTTATAGAGTATAGGCCTCCTCCAACTGCTCCATCTCTCTCTATCTTGAGCATTTACTTCCAATTTTCCCTCCTCTAAGAGACCTCTCTTACTTTTCCGTGGCGCTTTCCACCTTGTTACCCTGTTTGTCTATCTGCTATTGTTCATGCGAGCGGTGTGGCCCACCCATTTCCATTTAAGTTTTTTATAGTGGGATAGTGCATCAATAATTTTTGTTTTCTTTTGGCATAAAATGAAACAACGATACATAAATTCTAATAAGAATCGTCATAGTAGTAGTAGTATTAGCTGCCGCTTGGTTTCCGATGTATTTCCAAACCAATTCTACTTAAGGTCCTTCAAGAAAAGAGCGTACAGATTAAAAGGCCGGCAATGCATTTGCAGGCCTCTGACGATGTCATGCTTTAGTCTAATGGGCGGCGATATCACTCAACATTAGGTGAGTTTCCTGCCGGCTTGCCCCCTGTTCTTTAAAAAAAACTTAAATATTTAATCGACGAATCTATTGTACAGTTCCCATTAAGGCCTCTAACTATTTTTACTTAAACTTACTGCGGTATTAAGGAATGCTAGCGATTTCACAAGCAGCAAAGTAAAACAAAATATAATTTCCCTTGTATTTTATTAAAAGAAAAAGTTGTTCATCCCTTCACGAGAAACGTGCCCTAATATTTGACTTTCATCTCAATGAAACGGGCAGAAGCATAAGAGACAGCGGGCGGGCGTAATTAAAAGAAAAATAAGCGCTATTCATAAACGTCCAAGAGAATAGCCGCCTCGTGGCATTATAGCAACCAGCTGGCGTGACCCGCCGCCCCCCGCTCGTAATTGCGTAACTTAACCGCCAAGGTGTAATTCCCCGCAATACCAGGGGCCTTAGTTGAATGGTCAAAGAAGCTTTATCACCGTGGCCCGTTTAATCTAGCTCTTAGACGCCCCGTACCCCCTTTACGGGGTTTACTTTACGCCGACATGGTTGATTAAGTGGACGCGCTGATCTTAACGGAGACACTTATGAGCTAGTAGCGGTGTAATTAATGGCACGAATGATTATTGCACGCTGTGATTTATGTGGGTGATGTGATGCAATGCTATCGTGACACCCTTAAATTTTTCTTAGAAGAGGGCTTTCTTTATCCGGATATTTTCACTAATATTCCTAGTATATATTATAATATAAATAGCTTGAAAGCTACAAGCTACCCGCCCTTGGATGTATGTAAAATAGATTTCACATTTCAACAATTTATGTCGGTACTAATGTTACTTTGCATGACTCTGGAAGCCAAAAACTACCAGACAAAGCGCACGCTTATAGCAACTCTTAACTACACTCTCAAATACATGCGCACACACACCCACACACTCATACATTCACACATATTTAATAAGACTTATTTTAGATTAGTTGTAACACTAAACCTACTTTTTCTCAAAAAACTGTTTTAAACATGTACCATGTACCACTGACTAATTATTATCAAGTTACCCACAAAACAGGGACTCCCTAGCGATAGATAAAGTTTGTCACAACCTATTTACGAATAAAGTTTGTATTATTATTATTATATATTTAATTTGATATGAAAATAATCCGTAATTAGTCACAATTACCGATTTCAAAATGTGTAAAGTATCGTATGTACAAAACGCTAAGTTGAATTAACAGATGCAACATACCATGATTGTTGTTTCAAATTGCAGTTGGCTTTTAACTTGCAATTGAATTTTAGTGTTCGGAGCAGGTACACTTGTGTCTGTCAAACAGAAACTCAGACATTCTCGAGGTGTCGAAAATGCTGTTTGTCGGACATTAATACAATGATAGCGTAGGGTTGGCAATACTTTTTAATACAATGCGGTCAGTTTTTAATCAAGTCCTGTGTTTTATTGTGAATTCAAAGTCGGTGTTAGAGAAAGCTTGGTTTTTTCCACGAGGACACGGCCAGGCTGCTCACCAGATGTTAAATGATGACCGTCGCCCATGGACACTCATAATGCTAGAGGGCTTGCGAACACGTTGCCGGCCTTTTAAGAATGAGTTAAAGCCCATTTTTTAATTGTTTGTAGTAAGGCATAATTAAAAATCTTCTTATTATTTCTTATTTGTAGCTTTGTTTCGTGAAATAAAGTTTAATGTAAAGTAAGAATGCTTTGAAGATTTCTGATTTCTCATAGTCTTTTACTTATTATTTTTTTACTTTACAGAAAAATAAATACAGTGTAAACTCTTTATAACGTCATAAAGCTATAACGAAAAACGAAAAACCACCCATACATAATGATTCCCTCCCTATAACAAAACTTCTCTATAAGGAGTAAATATGCTCGGTCCCTTGAAATTCGTTATAAAGACTTTACACTGTAAATATATGTGTGTAGAAAATCAGACGCCGTGAGCCAATTTTACGTTTATGTTCTCTCATCCAAATAGCTTCAAATGGCACGCGCACAAGTCAAAATACTCTGTAATGTAAAATTTTCATTTTTAGTTTTATCTTAATTCTCACGAAGAATCTCAAAGATCCAGCGGCAGCCCTAACACTGGATTCGACGTAATTACGTTTCCTCTCTTCACATTGTTTACTAGTTTTTTTTCTTTGACACTTTTCCGAGGGAAACTTTCGAGTTTGTACCGAGTTTTCGGACACGTACGTCGCATCGATAAATGAATACTAAATCGAGTGTAGCGGATCGATTTGTAATTCGACTCGGATCATGTTCTTATCTACTTTAAACGGTTATTGATACTAAAAGACTTTGGGCGTGGTTTGTGAATTTGAATTGTAAAAGTAACCATTTTCTACTACTATACTACATTGACGGGAAAAAATATTTATTTTTACATGAGTTAAGTTTGGCGGGAGGGATGTTTAAATAAATCTAGTTTATTCGTATGAAATATTTAACTTTAATACTGATACCTTCTTGCTTTCCTTTATTTGTAATCCTAGAGTTACTTTAAAGAAATACAATATATCAAAATATATTAAGTATACAGCGAGGAAACGCTGCCAGCGTTAAAATACAATGCCACAGGGACCAAACATTGTTATTAGTTTCTGTTAATCGATTTTTAATTATCATTATGATTACTTTGTAGTCTAAGAATATTATTAATACTGTATATATGTTATATTTTATCAAAATGAAGTCGAACCAGGCAGAATAATTTGATGAAATAATACGCGATGCTCTATTATTCAAATGAAAGCGAAATTCAGTAATGTCTAGCGTTGCCTTTCACGACTATGATAAGCTTGAAGCACGCAATATCCAAGGCGTTTTATTGAAAATATTTGTAGAAATTAAGTTTTTTTTTTAAATTAGATTAAAATATGTTGTACCTCACGAACAGAAGCGTCCTCAAAGGAATGTCTATCAATTAATATGACATAATTATTATTATTTAATAATTATTATACAAGACTTCGCTGCAACTGGATAAAGCCTGATGACCTGTAACACATGTACTCTTAGTCTTACCTTCAACAGGCATCGGTCTCATCGTCATCACACAAGCATTTCCTTCTATTATAAATAACTGTTACTTTATTTTGTGCACTATGTATGTAAGTTTTTTTAAGAAAAACAAAGATTATTATTATTATTATAGTATATTTGCCATACTTTCTACATATATTTATATTTACATTGTTAACAGGGACCCTGCAAATAGTGAAGAGTGAGGAGGAAGATCAGGGCAAGTACGAGTGCGTGGCTGAGAATTCCATCGGTACTGAGTTCTCGAAACCCACTTCTTTGTATGTAAAAGGTAAGTTCCAAATATCTAAATAACGCAAAATATATTGTATATAATAAATTGTATAACAAGTATTTATTGGAAATTGAGAAGTGATGACACATTAATAATAAATTTGTTTAAAACTATCTGCCCCCGCGAAGTTCGTTTCGCCCTAAACAAATAAAAAAATAAAATATGTTTATTATGGAACATTTATACATAGCCTACCTTTTTAGTAGCTACATACGAACATTTTGCTATGGCATGGAGACCATAAAGACTTTTTGCTTTGACAGAATATAAACCTACCACATAGAGTTTTTCTCCACTCTTCAGAGTTCAAGGAATAAATAAAAATACTCGAATTGGTCCAGACGTTTTCGAGTTTTGCGCTTAGCAACATGTTTTGCGATTAATTTTTATTCATATAGATTGTTATAAATGCATTAAACTACAGGTTTAAAAAAAGTAAATTTTTATAACTAACTCGTTAAATAAAGTTTGAGATTTAACATCAAGACTAATGAGATTAGTAATACAACTTTGATCTTTAACCTTTTATGTAAATTAAAATATTAAGTTTGATGCATACCTGTTTTAAACTTCTTTAACTTAGCTAAGTCTGAAAGTTCCAATAGAACTAGCGATTATAACTTTAATACTGGGTTTCATAAAGCGTTGGCATTGTAGCTATCATCATCATCCTTTTTATTTGGTCCATTTCTTGACGTAGGCCTCTTCCATTTTGCTCGGCATCTACTGGAAGCCAACATCCTTGACGATATCGTCAGTCCAGGTGGGCGACCGCGCAGTCTTTTATTCTGCTGAGGTCTCTATTCAAGGAGCCTGCGGGTCCATCGGTTCTTGTCCATCCGCGCTGGGCCTGCCCACCGCCACTTAGATGTTGGTGTAATGTAGCCATAGAAAGAATTACATATATCGAAGTTGAATTTTGTACTTAGGGTGTCATATGGGTTGTCATAGGTTGCCATAATTGTTTAGGCAATTAGTATTGATTTTACAGAGTAACTAGGCAGGTTGTTGTTGAAGTGCAAATGTTTAAAAATTAATACTTCTTTAGTTAAACTAATTTATTGTATTATTTCGTCTCTCGAGAGATCACGGTTGCTGAAAAATAAAATCATTAATGTTGAATGTTGAATGAATTTATTATTGTATTATCTGGACTATAAAAGAGACTAAGACCCCCGAGTTTGTTTCGACATTTCTTCTCAGGGCAGTCAGTTAGGAAATGTCGACTTCATCTAGTTTAGGAAGACATTGTAAAAGTGATTTATATAGTCCTACTTGCAAGAATAAACTCATTTCATTTCATTTCATTTCATTTCATTTCAATGTTTTGCGTTTGATTAAGCTTAATTCAAATATGCAGAACTCGCGAAAATTATCTGTCAAACTTATTACAAAGCTAGATAGAAAAGTTTTCGCTAAAATGCATTGCAATTTACAACTGTTACAGTGTTTTAATAGGAAAAAACTAAGCATTTAAAGAATAGTGTCACAAAGTCCGTGATTTCGTCGGATAGTTTAATTAAAATTTAACAAGTCTCAACAGGTTGGCAGGAAAATAAACCTTTGTTCGCAGTAATTTGTAACAATTCTTTTCGTCCTCGCCGGACGTTTTTGTTTTACTTTTTGTAAGATTAAACCTTGTTTCATAGACGTTCAGGTTTTTTCAGCTAAATGTCCACTTGAATCTTAATTCGTTTGTTGCTTTAATTAATGTTTTTGTTTATTCAATTCTTGTTTCTTCTTATTTCTTCTCAATGGAGCGTGAAATTTTTTTGCACCTTGCAACATTATTGTTTTTATTCTTAGCATTGTTTTTATTCTTAAATACAAAGCGGTAATCTGAAACTTGTACTATGTATTTACTAAATCAATGTATAGGAACGTAAATACAGAGAGTTTTATGATCTTAAAAGTTTGTTTTTAAGAGATAAAAATATGAAATTGTCGAGATCGGGCATTTGTGCAAAAATAGATTTCTATATGCAATTTAAGAAAAAACAAATCATAAGGAAATAAGGATTGTCAATCCAAAAATTTACGAGCACAGAAATTCTTATCACCTACTTGCCTATACTAGAAAGATGTATATAATTCAGAAATTAAATAGGAAGATTCAGAGCACTAAGTATGACTTTCATACGTCGTATTGATTTCTGACATATTAGAGTACCTACAGGCTCTGGTATTTAATTAGTTGTCTCTGTCGTTTTTGTTGAAGAAAAAAGAGAGTACGCCTATCAGAAACCTGGGATGGGGAAGGTTTGTAAAATGGTGGCGAGGATGAGAGACAAGTGGAAGAATTTCTACACATCTAATTGTGAATAATCTGAACTATTCTCGAAATTTAATGACGTGGAATAAGTGATACCTGTATCTTATGTTCCATGATAAACATATTTTTTTCTTTTTTAATTTTATAATGCACTAAGGCTTTGTCGGGTACAATTGATCGTCTCGGTCGTGGTATTGTTATTGATAATATGGGCACGAAAAGCTTCAAAACTTCTAAATTCAAATTCATATTTTCAATCATACTTTACCATAGATAAGAATTTTTATACTATTTTTAACAAATGAACGGCTAGACTGATGTTTTGACTGATATACTTTTAGTTTTTTCTGCTTGTTGCGTTGGTATGATAACCACGTTTTATGTCACGTACTACGGAAACAGGATAATAAGGCCTATGTTTTTATTTTGAATATTGCATAAAGTTAAAACTTACGCCATTAAAAAAATAAATTAAAAAAAGACGTTCTTCTCCTGGTTTTAAGCTATTTCCCCACCAATTTTCAAGCCGTTCTTGAGTTACAAATGTAACTTAAGTGTTACTTACACGATATTTTACATATATAGCTGTAATTTACATAACATCATTTACAATTAAGTTCATTTCGATATTGAACTTTGCGTTTATTGAAATTATGGTGATGCATAAGCCCGTTTATAATAGCTTGGTGATTCGCCAAAACAGTGATACAAAGTGCTATTGATGATCATTGCTGTCGTGATTTCGACGACGCCTGAGCACACAAACGATATAACTGATTCGCCTCGGACACACGATTGTGTCTGCATGAATGATTCTGTTCATTTACGTGTGAATATTCAGGTTGCTGATACCGCGATATTTGACTCAAGTGATGGGTGATTCTCTTCTGTGCTGTTGAATATTTGGGTTATTATTATACCATTACATATGAAAAACGAAGAACAGGACAATAATAAAAATAAAAAAGGTACCCACGAATTAAATTCGGTGTCTGTTAGTGTATTGGATATATTCAAATAAAGCACTTTGAAGCTGGGTAACAACTGACTTTAATGGCTTAAAATTTATAACTAACATAGAATTACGGATTGTGGCTTATCTAAGCGTTCACAAATCTAAATGACACTTATGTTATTGGACCTTATTGGAAACGAGAATATTAAAATTCAATTTATGAGTGTGGTAAAAAATTAAGGGGTTCGATATTGGCTTGAAGTGTGCGATGCTTGTTTACATTTTGTTTACGCTTCTAATTATTAACTAATAATATTTATATTTAACTTAAATGAAGTTAGGTTACATAACTCACGTAACAATAATTAAAATTATGCACTTTCAACGTAAGATCATAAAAAGACAATTAGTTCTAAAAAAACAGAAAAAAGGGGAATGGAAAAATATGGAGGAGGCTTTTACCCTAAAAGGAGCCATACTAGACCGCAAAGAAACTAACTGAAATTTTTACACCATATACTACCACAGCTAATACTCATATTAAGAAATTATAAGTAACAAATTTTTGTATGGATTAAATAAATAAGAGGTTACCAATTTTCTTGCTCATGTGTTGCAATAACTATATTTGATTAAAGTTGCTAAGGTGTTTTTTTATTCTTGATAGCCTATTTATAAATATGTAGGTCGTTAACTGTTTTTCATACCCCTGAATGATAAGGATGGCCCACCCCAATTTTTTTGGAACCCATTTTTAATTTTTATAATTACGCAATAAATTAAAACATATAACTCAAACTTTATACCAGCCCCCATTTTAATCGCAATCATCGTATATATAGCAAAGCAACGTGTGCCGAGTCAGCTAGTAAAATATATGTTCAAACACTACATTTATTAAGGTCCTACTAAATATATGAAGAACTAAACGCAAGTCACGCTCCATTGCTCAAGCCGAATTACGAACCTACGTCAGTGTCGCGTTGTGTCAGAGCGTATCACTCTCGACAGTCCGATGTTTTTGTGTAAATAATATATAAGAAATCTTATTTCTAAATTTAACAAATAGTTAATGTAAGCTTTGATACCTCTACTATAATAAATTATTTAAATACTCGCGTGCGACTTTCATCCCTGAGGTCGTAGGTTCGATCCCCGGCTGTGCACTAATGGATTTTATTTCTATGTGCGAATTTAAAATTTCCAGTTAAGGAAAACATCGTGAGGAAACCGGCTTGCCTTAGACCCAAAAAGTCGCCGGCGTGTGTACAAGAGGCTGATCACCTATTTGCCTATTATATTGACAAATGATCATGAAATAGGTACAGAAATATGAGGCCCAGACCTAAAGGTTGTAGCGCCACTGATGTTTGTTTATCTTTGTCTTACATTTTTGTGAGTGTCATAACCGTAGCGGAGATTCGTAGTCTCTGCTTACTTCATTGGGATAAAATCGTGAATAAATAAGAATAAGATGAATCCTTTATTCATCTCTGTCGTCCCAAACTTACGTATTACATATACGTATTACAATAAAAAACTCTCTCTCCGCCTAAAAATAAGACCTACTTAAAATTCAAACAAAAAATACACTTTATTGCAAAGGTAATATTAATTTTTTCCTTCTGAAAGCCACATCCCTCACTGTCAGAGTTTACGAGAAGTAATAATTAAAATAAACAGCACAGTTTATTAAGCGTTGTCTACTATCATTAAAAAATACCAAACAGTTAAGTAGGTTAGGTATTTTTTTTGGTTTCTGTATTTGTG